CTAAGGGGTGTGAAAGGCTTTTGTTTTTTCTTGGAAGTCTGGAATTGCTCCTTTGCTATTTTATGCAGGTCTTGGAATTGGGTTTTATAGCAACAGAAAGCAATTTTGCAGTGATAAAAATACATTTTCTACATTCATGAATTCATAAATTTTAAGAGCAAAAGGAACCATTACATTCATTCAGCCTGAGGCATTGATAGATTTACTGCACAGGAGCTAATGGACCAGAGCACAGTCCCTTTGAGATGACAGGAGAGAATTTGTGCAGCTTTTTTCCCTCCTCCTCATCATCATCACAAGGGCAACTACCTCAGAACTGCCTTGTCAACGAAGACCCTGCCTCTAGTCCAACTTGAAAGAACATTTATTGAAACACATTTTAGGGAAAGCCAGGCTGCTTTCCCAAGCACTCAGAGAAAGCAAAGGTCATCACACCCCCATCACCCCAGAGCACCTCAGCCACCTCTCCTTGACCCCATCTGGTCTCCCAGCAGCACCAGACACCCAAAGCAGCAGTGGCTGCTGCCCCTGTGCTCAGGCTTTGTTCTTTACCTGCACAGCTCTCTCGTTGGGATATGAAGCACTTGGCCCCTGGGACTCAGCTTATTGCCTCATAAAGCAGGATGGCAGGATTATTAATGTGGCAGAACTGCAGGGTTTTCCAAGCAATTTATGAGTTACCATGGCAGTTCATTAGCTCTCAGCCCAATGACCCCTTCCTGGCAAGCATGAATCAAGCAGGAGGCACGCACACATCTAAATGTACGACAGATATTCACATCAAAAACACATCCAAGGCCATATTTCCTCCATTTTGTTCAGCACATGTCCAACTGCAGCACTAAAAAGTCAACAGTTATCAGGACTGATAACCAATCCACTGAAACAGGTCTAGGCACAAAGAAATTCCCAATCCCCTTTTTTTTTTTTTTTTTTTTTAATTTTTGTTCTCATCAAGCCATTTCTGATGGATGCCTGCATTTAAAGAACAGCAGGTCCTTAGCAGAGGGTTGTATTTGCAGCCTTTATGGAATGCACAGGGAGGCAGCTCTGGCAGTGGGGACAGTGGGCACGCTGAATGGCTCCCTTGACTTTCAGTGCTCAGAAAAAGGTTTCACTTTACACACAGACAGGCCTCTCATCCCCACTCAAGAAAGACTTTGAGAAAATATTTAACTTTCATGGTAATTATCCATAGGTCTTAAAATAAAGCACACACTTCAACGCTTCCTTGAGTCCAAGTAGCACAGTGTGTATGAAAAAATTCCACAGGTTTTAATGCAGTGCTCAGTTAGAACTTCAGCACAGGCCAAAAAAACTAATCTAGCAAACTAGAGAGGAAAGAGATATAGAGAATAAAAGGGAGCCTTTGAAGGTAATAACTGGACAATTAAGATAATGAAAAGACTGTGAGCACAGTAAGTTTTATTAAGAAGTACAAAACCACTACCAAGCTACTCACAGATATTACAAAAAATTACAATGTTTTACCAAAGAAAGATAGAAACAAAGGAAGATGTTCTGGGGAAGAAGAAACAAGGACAGAAAGATTTCTAATAAGTCTTCATTGTATTATTTTTCTCAGTTGCATTAATGCTTTTTTATTTTCTTTTCTTCTCTAAGACTTTCAGGGTATTTTAAAGAAAAGGCAGAGCTAAAATGTTTATATCTGCCTCTATTACAGCTGCCAGACTCAGAACTCAACCTCACCATGCCTTATGTGCTTCCCAGAATGAACTTGCCTTTTTCTTTTGAAAAAATAATTAATGTATTTATTAGTGCAGTAATGGGACCCACATACTGGAAAATCCCACCTTCCTTACCATTCCATTAGCTAAATCTGGCTTTGGGCCAAATTTTTGTATTTCAGCTCCTGCCAAGGTTCAGGTTTGGAATGTTTTTATGTTGGAGGACTTTTCATCTGTTTCCTTGGCTGGGCTAATGGGACCCTAATGCACACGAGAGATCTCGATCACACCAAGCTGCTGGGTACTTGTTTGCTTCAGTCATCTCATACATACACTCAAACTGGTGGCATTTCCCTCTCAGCTAAGTGATGCCAACAGGCCTTGAGCCCACGGTGCAAAGGGGTATAATTTGATATGGAGAAATGCTGACTTGAATCATTCTCATGGCTGGAGTAACTACAACCAATATTTTAAAAATATACAGCTGGGCAAAAAGTTAGATGACACCTTTATTTAAAAACAGATTCATCCAGCAAAACTATGTGTGTCTGGCAGGAATTCTCATGTCCAATAAAACATGGAAGTTAGAGGAATGATCCTTCAAGAAATATGGACATGGCTTAAAGAAAGCAAAGTTGTTGCCTCATCCATTTACCTCTTGGAAATCTGGGTTAGGGCCCAGGTCCTGCTGTCAGGCTAGAGACGAACAGTGTGGACATGATGACCTGAGAGACCTTGCAGACCTTCTCCTGCCAGGACTGGGAGATAAGACACCTCACCAGCTCTTCACCAGGCCTTGGTCTACATTAACGCTACCAGTCTGTCACAGGGTCCATCTCAGCTGTGATTTCTGCTAACACCTCAAGAGCTTTTCATTAATATTACCTTTTGTCACCTTATAAATTACTTACTCAGCAGAATTTTCATGAGTTGCTATCAGAAGACATATTTGTCTCCTTCCAGTTCTTCCCATACTTGAGAACCAGCAGAGCTCAGCTGCTCTGTCCCTATAGTTACTGAAGTTCATCACAAAGGAAATGTCTGTATGAAGACTCTCCCACCCACAGCCACATCCATCACTGTTCTTGCTCTTGACAACTCTTCTGAAGCAGCACAGCAGGTCAGTAGCACTGGCCAAGGACACGTGGCATTTTTTTCTCACAGGTAAGACCAGTGACACACAGCAGGACATCTCTGCCACAGGCAGGCAGGCAGGGAGGGAGTGACAGAGAGGAGCAGACTGACTGCACTGTCTGATCTCAGAGAGTGATGGGGTCACCTACTTGAAGCAGCAGCAAAAAGGGTTGAGGTGATGCCTGGGGAAACCCATTTGTATACCCATCACATTTCCCAAGCTGTGCCAGCGTCACTGCATCTTTCACTGATCTCCAGAAAACAGCAACAAGAGACAACGTGTTTTCAACATTTTCCAAGCAAGAGGTGGGAGACAGGGATATGTATTGAGATGCAGGCAACAGGGAAGTGCAGTCATGGCCATTTGTCCCAGCCTGTCCCCTTTCACTCCCTCAGTTTTGGTGAAAGTAGGAGAGCACTGTGCCAGGAGCCATAATGTGTACAGCTTTAAGGAAACCTGAAACAAAGAGACAGCCAGCAGGAGGTTTTCTACCCCAGTATCATTCTCTAGGTCATAAGAATACCAAATTGTTTGGTTTTATCATTTATTTTAAAAGGATTCCAGGACTTAGTTCTGTCTGGCACAAGCACATGGAACTGGAATTTGATTTCTTGTTTATCTCATTTTCACATGTTGAAGGACTTTGCTATTTGAGGCAAGAAATATGTGTCTGTTGATCACAAAATCCAGTTCAGAGACATGTCTGAGATCATGGTTTTGAAAAGAAGCCATGGCCACCTTCAAAGGATGAGGCAGATTTTACCCACAGAAAAGCAAAACATACCATTTTGTGCTCTCAAGTGTGACTCATTTCCTGATGCAGTTAGGCTTGGACTAGAGAGCTAAGGTCAGATTAAGAGATCATTAGTGCCTTTTATAGTGGACTTTGAGACCAGGACCACATTTCTAGAATAAGGCCGTGGAGGCCTTTGAAGTAGAAATCCTCTTGGAAATACATCATGGGGCTCTGTTTGTTTACTCTGGATTTTTGAGGGATGGAGCTCCTGTTTTGCCTTCTACATTGCCTTTGTTTCTGTCAAACCGTTATGAGGATAAGCTTCTCCTTAGACTTTTTATGAGAAAAGTGATATTAAAACATCAATTTCCTGACTAGAAAATTCCCTGAGCTTTGCAAGGATAGCCTTGCTACTTCTTGCTGCATCACTTAAAGCAGAACCCAACCTTCCTACCCCTCCTGCCAAATGAAACAACAATCAGCCAGACGAGCTGAGAGCCTGATGCTCCTGCATCAATGTCTCTGCTCCTCAGGGTGCTGCACATCCATCATGCAATACCCACCACACAAAATGTTACAGTGACTCCATCTCAAATGCTTTCTGTCACACTCAGCACCTGCAGCTACACACAGAGTGACCACAGAGCCATTGCTGTCTGAGGGCACAGACAGCTTCTCCTTCACCACATGTCCCACTGTCTGCTCAGCACATGCAGTACAGCACCAAAATTTGCACTTCCAGATGGATGCAGAGAGGAACACAGAGAGAGAGACTGAGCTGATCCTAGCAACAACTATGTAAGCAAAACCCTGAAGGAAATATTTTCAAATATGTCAGCTACAAATGACCAAAATGTCATCACAGTAAGAAGACAGATGTTGTTTTTATAATTCTGAGCTCAGACAGGAACAAATTTTTCTCTGTTGCAAAATAAGATGACTAGTCAGGTAAGAGCACAGTCTGTGCTCAATGCTATGACTTAAGTTCCCAACTGAGCACAAACTGTTTGCTTTTTTGTTTAACAGTATTTTGTTAGAAAAATTGTTGCAATTGTTTACCTGAAGATTTTGGGAGTGATTTTCTACTAACACAGTGAATGAGTATGGTTTGGTAATCACCTGATTCTATGGTACAAAATGAAATAAATACAGAAAAAAGTAATAAGGATCCTACTGATAACCACAGCTTTGCTGCGGGATGCCAACATTGATGAATGGGTTAATAAATATAATTTCCACATTTTTTGCTTTTTGTATAGAGCCAATGAGTACAAAAAGTGACAGAATTAAACTACTCTGGTGATCCAAAGCTTTCCCTTGTCACCCAAATAAGAATCACCATGAGCCAACAGGAAGTTCAACAACTTTTTTCATCTTATTCTTCATACAACTGTTCAACAAACATAGATGCCAGTGAGAGCTAGAGAATTTTGTAACTTACCACAGGTGTAGATGACATTAAGATGCTTTTGGATGCCTGGGTAACAAGGATCTCCAAATTCGTAGGTGCTGGCATATATGCTGCAGCTTCTTTTCCCATGACAGCGCTTGATCATGAGCTGGAGAGCAGTAGCTGACTGACACTCTAAAAGGGAAAAACAATATCTATCTGTGAACATTTGTCCATTCACAATGAAATTGCCTAAAAATAATTTACCAGATGCAGACTGTGAGAGTACATACAAGATTTCCATATTTAAAAGCCTTTGTGTTTACATGAAAAAGTGTATCTGACTCTAGCACACCTCTAATAATTTGAAAGAACATTGAAGAATCTGAAACCCTCATACATCCATACAAAGAAAGCAGAGAATAAAATATATTTCATCTTTGTAACAACCACAAGAGGTGTCTCAAATCCCCCTCTCTGGTCCCTGTTGAAGACAAAGGTGATCAGGGTCTCTTTCTGCTGTTTGATGTTGTATTTATAAATCTAATGAAAATTACTATGAGGTGTAATAATTATAATATTATCATCTACCATATAAGTAGAAATATTGCTTTAATCACATTCATTCCATGCAAGTAGAAACATTTTTCATGTTAGAAATTTAGAATATGGGAAGTTCCAAAAGTGTTTTCCCATATATTTTTCTCTACTAGGTGGTTTTACCTGTTTTATTACCTAGGGTGAAAACAATTTGCACAGATTAAGTCTTGAGCTTTTAGGTACAAGACTGACAGTTCTCTTTCACTGTCCAGCCAGGACCAAACTCAGGGGGAAGCTTGCAAGGAGACATTTCTTCAACATCAAATCATTGCTAAAAGGAATGGGACAGCTACAGAGAATGGAATACAAAGCTCTTTTGGTCACTGATTAGGAGGAAGGGAAAGGAAAAATGGACCTCAAAAGATACTAGAGTGCTAGAACCAGCATAACAATAAAAGCCATGAGAGACAAGGGAAAGACACAGGAAACCAAGCCTACAGGGTAATATGCATTTTTTCTCAAATCAAAGGCAGCATTTTATTTCACATGCTGCAAATGACAAAAGGAGAAGGTTCCATGTGCACATTTTCATACTGAATGACCCAAACTTCCTTAGGGAATTTCTGATCCAATGAGTGTCAGAGGTTTCAGTGGAAACATCTGGCATGCAGCAATCCTGATTCATTGTCTTTTTACAAATGTCCAGCTAGAGAAACTCAGCAAATCTAATTGCTGCAAAGGATTTCATGGAGTGTGCCTATTCTTTTTATTTGTTATTGTTCTCACACATAACAGAGAACATCCCACAGCTGTCTGCTTAGGGGCCTTGCCCTAAGCACAGAAGCATACTGTATCCATGGGGAATTACACATTGCTGGTCCTGTGAGAGGCACAACAAGGCTTTTGCATCCAGCATACCCAGAGATGGACAGCCTTTGGGACGTTCCTCATTTAGGAATATGCATGTACTAACAGACTACAGACTCTGCTCTCCACCTTAACAGATCAAATTGACTCTTCAGGTGCCAAAGCTGAAGGTTCATCAGACTGAAAATGCTTCTAGGAGTTTTATTTGTCATGCATTCTCACACTAACAGTGACAGCTTTTCTAGCCATCACTAGTCATGTCCTGGTATTGACGGCCACCTTCCTCCCATGCAGTTCTGAGCAGGCCATGGTCTCCACTCAAATTGACTTTAGCAGCAGCGTCTGTATCAGGAAACCAAAGGGGGCTAAATTATGGACACACCTTTACTCCCTTTGTTTAAGTGATAAGGTGCCTTAGGATGATTTTGCCAACAAGCATTACTCCAAACAGGTAATACAGCCTGAGATATAACAGGGCTAGTCCCAATGGTCAGTTTGCAGAAGGCCCTCACTGTATCTTTGGATCTTTGAGCAACCTGGTTTAGTGGCAGATGTTCTTGCCCATGGTAGTGGGGTTGGAGCAAGATGATCTGTAAGGACCCTCCCAACTCAAACCACTCCAGAATTCTATGAGCTTCTGGACTGCCTAGGAGAGTTATCTGGGCCAAGACAACAAGCCATGGACCATGCTGCAGTTTCACAGTACAGATCTATTTCCAGTACCTGTGCTGCTGACACTGCTCAATTACCAGTACACACGTAACCCCAGACACCCAACTTCTTTGGGAACAGACCAGGCCACATAGTCACAAATACCTGTAGTGAAGTCCTCAACTCTCCACCTGCCAGGCTGCTCCAGCTCAAGCTGCACCAGCCAAAATGAGTAGAAGAGTAGAAGGAGCTTTCTATGCCTCGTGAAGATGGAAGTCCCTCACGTATAAAGTAGGGCATCAAGATTGTAAAAGCCTCTTTAAATGGACTTTTTGCAAACCATAGGATGAAAAAATATATCCAGGGGAAAATGTTGCCTGCTGGGACCACAGCACATAAACCATTCCATAATTTAGCTGAAAGCAATATCTGGAGCCTATCCACTCCAACCTCCTGCCTAAAGAACAGGCAGCTTTGATGTTACATCAGGTTGCTCAGGAATTCACCCAGGCAAGTTTTGTAAATCTCCATGGAGAAATATTTCCCAAACTCCTTGGACACTTGATCCAGGGCTAAGTCCCTCTCCACGTGAAGAATTTTTTCATTGTATGTCATCAGGTTTCTATTGTTGCAACTCATATTCACTCCTTTTGGTGTTCATCTGCTGTTTCCTTCTGTGTGTTCCCAAAAAGAATCTTTTGTAGAACCACTTATTACTTAGTAAAAAACAGAAATGAGTTCCCACTCAGAGCTTTCTCATCTGAAAACTGAACAACCCTGTTTCCCTCAGTATTCCCCCATATGCTGTATTGAGGCCCCTGACCAGCTTGGTGGAGCTCCACTGGACTTGCTCCAGTTTTCCAACATCTCTCGTTACCTGGAGAACTCCAAACCAGACACTCCAGTGTTCTAGAGTTAAGCTGTAACAAGTCCTGCCCAATTTGGTACCACCTACAAACCCTGTCCCAGGTCATTACTGAAGATTTTAAGCAACCTCTGACTGCTTTTAGGTGGCTGCCAGTGTGATTTCAATACAGCACAGTGGAGGTTTCTTGTCATGTGCTCCATTTCCTTAGCTCTTGCTGCAAACAGTCACAATTTAGGAAAGTCTTACAGTTTTCCCTGACCTCCAGACCCAATGAACACCAGAACATGGTGAATGCAGAAGCGGGAGAAAATCATCCGAGGTATCCATGTTACAACTCTACCGACAACAACAGACCCACAGGGTAAATTCAAATACTCTTCTCATTTTCCCCATGGTAAAACCTGAGCCATTCTCTTGGAAACAGTTATATTTTTCTAGCCCTAAAAAAAAAGAAAGAAATGAGGTCTAGGCACAAATTCACAAGTGTTCACTTCAAAGACTTCCTTTTGCTCACAACAGGGAATTTTCCCTGGTTTTGCCTCCACACAATTTCTAAGCAGAAGTGCCTTGTACATTCCCATAAAGGCCAAGGAAGCAGCTTGCAGTGTTTTGAGGGAGGACTACACCAACACTGAAATTAGCTTTGTCTCCCATCTTCGATTTCTCGGTCTGTCAAATATTCATCCTCCACATAACACATTGAACAGGAAAATGTAATAGCAGCATTCAAAATCTCCAAATGGGACCATCTTCCTTACGCCCTTCAAAGGGTTTCTGACAAGGAGTTAATTTAGCTGGGTTACAAAATGTCATACTCAAGCATCTTTATTCCCTCACTAATGAGCACTGAAGATGTCAATAGTACATCTGAGAGGTGGCTGAGTGATAGATGAGACTACAGCACCTTCATAAATCACAGTCACCACCATGGCAGTCAGAGCTCTAGAAGGGACAACATGGTATTTTCTTTTATCCCTATGTCTCTGGCTTATAAAAACAGTGAATTCACTCTTGTTAGATGTAATGAACTGTACATAGATAATTTAACTTCCAATTGTAAATAAGTCCTTGGGGAGCTCATTGAAGTGAGAGCTCCAATTATATTAGTACCTCTTCAGAAGGTGATTCCAAGTCAGAAATCTTCACCTCCAGGTGCCCATCCTCAGAGCTCAGGCAAGAAAATGGAGGGGATTTATCCATATATCATCCATTTATTCCACCAAAAAGATGCAGGGAAGGCAAGCCCAGAAATGTGGTGCAGCAGAGTTGGGCTGTGGTCCCCTTCAGCTGGACAAATTAATTTTTTCCAGGTCTTCAGAAGTGGGAGACTAGACATGGCACTTACTTGTTCCAGATGTCATGCTTATTCAGGGCAACATGACAGTTGGACTTGATGATCTTAAGGTCTTTTCCAACCTTAGTGATTTTATATTCTACAATCTCCTTTCTTCTGCTGCTTGTTTGCTTGCTAAATGCAAATTCCAAATGTTTTATGAGATACCACCCTGGCACCAGTAACAAACAAGTGACTCCATGTGTCAGAGACGTGGGAAGGACACTCACAATGCTAACACCATATCACTAAGTCTGAGGTAAGTACTGCTAAGCAGAGCCAGGCCCCTGCTGAGAACCTCTTAAAGCCCACAAAGCTCAAATCCCATGATGCAGCAATAAAAACTGCTATAAGACCTCATAGATGATAGAGAGCCCTCCTGGAGAGGTTGGGCCAGAGTTACCCTTGGCTTTCATTAGTCTTGGATTGCTTCAGTACACTGCCAGAGAGCACATATGAATCCTGGCTATGGTGAAACTTTCACATGTGAAAGCGTTTAAAAGTATCCTCTGTGCTTTTCAAATATGGCATTTTCAGCTAAAGTTGGGGCTGTGGGGGAGTGGGATCAGCTCACTTTATTCTCTTTACCTCTGGCCCCAATTTCTAGAAGTTGCACGTCCCTCCAGCCTTGCTGCTGGTGCAAGGTGAATTCCCTTTCCCAGAATCACTTCACAAATGCAGACCACTGGCTAGCTGGATTTCACAACCATTAGTCTTAAGTCCTCAGTGGGTAATTCACCTTACCAGTAATTCACCTTACCTAGTCCATCAGCCCAGCCTCTGTCAGGATAAAAACTCAAACCAGGGCAGCAGAGCCATGATGGAGGATTTTACTAGCTGCAGCTTGCAGACCGAGTTGGCTTTAAAATGAGAATTGGTCTCAGTGATGTAATGTCCATATCATCAAGCTCACCACAATGAATGGATTTTAGTCAG